GTGGTGACACTGTCCTGTTCCCATACCAATGACAGCCAGAATAATCCTAGTATAGGAAGCAATGGTGATTGCTAGAGGGGCCAATCATCACTATGCAACAAAAAAAAACATCTTTTCAAATGTGGATGTGTCATTGCATGAGTGGTTTAGCAAGGAAGGTAAGTCATAGAAAAAGTGGGCTATTTCCCAGGACCCACAATAAGAGAAGGAAACTGTAGCTACAACATCAATGATCCCATCACTAGAACCCAAAATTCAGGAAAAAGCACTCAAAGTCCACAAATTTTGAGTCTCATGAGATTGGTGTATCTCAGAGTGTAGCAAATGGCAATGTACTGATCATAAGCCATGACAGTCAACAGGAAACACTCAGCTCCAAGCAGGGACACATAAAAGAAGATCTGGGCCTGTAGCCTGCCAGAGACATGGACTTCCTGCCAGATAGGAAGTTGATGACCATCTTGGGCACAGTAGTGCAGATGAGCATGAGGTCCATGAGGGAGAGCTGCCTAAGGAGGAAGTACATGGGTATGTGCAGCTGGGAATTTAGGTAGATGAGCAGAACCATGGCTGTATTCTCCACAAAGGCCACTCTGAAGATGTCCAGGACCAGTGTGAAGAGGAAGGTGTGAATTGGGTTTTGATCAAAGATTCCTAGCAGAATGAAATCAGAGTTGAAGGTCTGATTATCCCAGCCTATGGTGGACATATTTGTCACTTAGTATGAAAACAGGTGAAATCTGTTTATTCATAGTAAGCTTTTAACTATTATCTTACAAAGTTTCTGATTCTAGAAATTACTGTAGGTCATTAATAAATAGAGTGAAATATGAGTTAAAGGCTCAAAACTTAATAAGTACAACCTCAGAATAAAGCCTGCTCTATTCAAAAGTATCAAATGGTACTGTTGTAAATATATATGACAGCTTGTTTCCTTTAAGTGCATTACTGAACTTTATCGTTGAAAATGTCTATAAATTCTCCCTGTATAATATAAGCCAAGTAAGAATTTGTATTACTACATTTTAATGACAATTAGGATTATTTATCAAAAAATCCAGACTAAGCTATTCCAACCATAAAATCTAAGGTAAAATAAAATACTCGTGCTATACATAGTAAAACTCACTTGAAAAACACATAGAACCAGTAAAAGTCATTTTAATGTACATTTGGAGAATTATGGAAAATTTTTCTATTATCACATATCATGCAGTGATTTGGTAAACCCCAAATAGCTGCTAGCTCATTTGAACACATATCTTAGTGCATCATTTTGATATAACTAGGGAATGTAGGCAAAAAGGTTTAGAGATTTCCTTAATACACAGTTTGCAACAAAGTCATTTTGCTAAGTTTTAATGCAAAGATCATTTTACTTGACAAGTCTCAACAGCATCCAGCTTTCTTACCTTATGCCTGGCCAATAAGGGTTTCCATCGTTTCTTATGACAATGAGTACTGACAATCTTTAATTTACCAGGTTGTGTAAGAGCGAAAATGGATGTCAGTATTTCCAGATGAACAAGTCAGCTGAGGTCCACATCTGGGCCCTGTATAAGCTACATCTGGTTGCCACTGAATACCAGTGTTCTGTGGAGTCCTGCTGAGTCTCTGGGGCCCTGCCAATGTTTAAATTGTTTCTCTAAACCACGTACTTGGAATGATGTAATGATTCTCACATGCTCAAACAAACTACTCCCTGGTGACTACACTTGGACCATAACATTCCTACTTAAGTCTTTAAATGAAGAAACACTGATGAGGTGACATTACTTTGAAAGATTAGTTCATGTGCAATTGGGCATGCAAATAGCGGAAAGAGCTGCTGGAGGGACTGCCCTTCTATTGATGGTGTGGACACAGAGAAGGTATGGTATCTGTATGGATGTCATTACAATCGTCTCTTTTCTTCCATCTGATGCTGAGTGCTCATGCAATTACTATGCATTAATAACTTATTTAAACAGATACAGTGAAATTGAATCCAGCACAATGCTACCTGCAAGTGTTGATATAAATTTAAACATCTGATATTTCAGTTAAATGTCACTCAGAGGAACTATTTTGTGAAAGTGAGTGGTTTATCACAAGTACACAGACACTTAACTTCTTCCCATGAATTGGAAATGTAAAGCAAGGAATGAGTGAGCCAAGGTCTGTCAGCAACGCCATCACATCAACAAGTCTGACAGTGCCAGTGGGCAGCAGTGTTCAAAACTGAACCGCTGTCTGCAGTCACTATCAACTGAGCAATGTAAAATCGAGAAAACACAATCATTCTATACAAATTCTGAGAAGTTTAACTGAGAGGCTGCGTATAAGACTTCTCCTAAGAAGGAAAATTAAAGTTTAAGAGAAAAGTGAAGAAATATAAATGTAATGAAAAACACACATTAGTTATGTGTTTTATATTTTAATCCTTTGAAACAATCTTTTATTAAAAATGCTGCTTGTGGTTACAGCATGAGGTTGAAATTTCTTACTCATTAGTCAGTTCCTCTTAGCGGAGCCTCCGCTAAGAAACGTTAATTATGAATATTAACTATGAATATTAATTTGATGAATTACTTAAAAATAATTTAATATGTAAACAGGTAATATGATGAGTAATTTAATTGAAATTTTATTTAATACATTTTAAGCTCTCCCAACTAAAATGAGGAAAATTTTTCATTTTATTGCAAAAGGTCTGCATTTTATACTTATTTTATAATAAAGGAAATGTAATTCATTTTGAGACCAAATGAGACTACTAATTTGGTGATTCTACATGAGAGAAATGTCTACTAGTTCAGCAAAAGTAAGAGATTAAAATATTATTTAGACTGATTTAATTATTTACTTTACTATGCTGCAATTGGCACATGCAGGATTTGTTATTTTAAACACGAAATTTGGAAATTTTGAGATAAGAGATTAACTTACACTTTCTAAGACTACAGGTATTTTAACACATTATGAATTAATTAAAGCTTCACATATATTGTCTAACCTTTGATTGGCTAATAGTTTGAATTAAGCTTAAAAAGAGATAGCATGTCTAGTCTTCAATATACTCTAATTAAATAGTGACAAAGATTTTTTTCATAATACCATAAAAACATATCATTTATAGAAATTTTCATCTTAACCATTCAGATATTTGCACAGGAGGAAAACACATCAAATCATATAACTTTAGCCCGTGCATCAGCAAAAGGCTTTTGCAGGGTGTGTTTTGCCATTATTTTAGCTATCTAAGGATAAAAAGATCATTGTGTTATTTTCTTAGTTCTTGTGGGATTACAATTTAGGACTCATGGTGTAATCTCTAATACTAACAAAAGTACGAAAATATTTAATATTAATCTAATTCATTAAATCTGTTCACCAGATAAATACTACATTTTTCTCTACAAATTTAAACAAATTACTTGTTTTTGAGCAAAGACGTGGTGCTTTATTTCATTGCCAGTTTATATCTTCCAAAAATCAACACTCAGCTAACCAATTTCTTGCTTTTCTCCTATACATGTACAAATTCTTACTCGTCATAGAATCACCTAAGTTTATTACAGTATTTTTAATCTGGCCTTTAATTGTACAGTGTTAGTCTTTCCTAGTAGGATTAAAATTCCATGCAATTCAGAAATGATTGATTCCTTTACTATTCTCAGATTTCTACAATAGCATAAATAAAGATGTGTTGTAATAATAAAACCAGGGTCAAATCAAAGAGCACTTCAAAGTAACTCTTTATACTTATTCTAGGGAACGGTGTTTACCTTGGGTGATACCATTATGGAGGTAATAAGCTGTGAGTGGAATCAGCGGGTCCCAGAACTCCTGTCTCCCTACCTCGTTCTTCAGAGACCAGAGGCCTCATCCACTGCTGAGTTACTCTTCTGTAAGGATATTCTGGATATGTGCTGTATGTTCCTGGCATAACAATACATGAAAGTTGTACACAGTAAATTGAAACTATATCATCAACATAAAAGTAGAAGTGAGCAAACTTCTTCTCACTCACTCTTCTAGGAGAAACCATGAGGACACTCTGCTGCAGGCCAAGTCCTTGAGTTAGGCGGAGGGCAGCAGATGGCTGCACAGAGCATGATGGGCAGCGCGTTAGAATGGAGCTCTGAGAAGAAGCTGCTCCAAGGACAGGGAGGCAAATCTCACTTTCAGGACTTTTGAGAGATCTGGAGGAGAAGAATGAATTCTGTGTAGCATGCCATGGTAACATGTGCTCTGAAGATGCAGGAAAATGGCAAGTGTTAGAGCAGTATTTCTGACAGTGAGAACAGGAGATAAAATAGTTTCATAATCTGAGTAACTTCTCGCATCATTCATAGCATCACCTAACCCTGACTTGCTGCTGACTGTGGAAGAGCAAGACACACTTGTGTGCACAAACACCCATACAGGCAGGGGAGAGAGACACAGAGAGAGAGCAGCAACATTTATGACAATGATAGTGGAAGATTAATACTCCATGAAAATTTGGAGTTTGAATGAGATAAGCTATGGTTTTAATACCTGGAGCTGTATTTTTTTCCTATTAAAATTAAAATATAGCATTTTTCTCAACTATATGAAGTAATGCCTTTGTAATAACTGAAAAATTTACAACCTTTGCACCAAATGTTAGAGAAGAAAAATAGGGATTACTAGAATGCTTTAACAATATTGCCATTGACCTAATGTTAAAATATGCACATATCAGATACATGTCAATACTTTACTAAACTTTGGAAGGCACAGATTGCATAAATTTCAATGAAAGAGAAAATTATATACATAACAAATATTAAAGTGAAAATTTTCTCAGGTTAAAAAAGTGAATAACTCAGACTAACAGAGAATCATTCTAAGGTTTCAGAATAGTCAGCCACCAAACACACCTGCAAGCCAGGGTTAGGAGTTTAATAGTTAAGAAATAATTTTCTACATTGTGATTCTGCATGGGTTCATACCTTCTGCCTTTTCTTCTGAGGTACCAGTGGCATCTTACAAAGATGTCCAACTCCACCACGATGAAGGACTTTCTGCTGCTGGAGTTCTCTGACCTGCGGGATCAACAGATTTTCTATGCCATGTTCTTCTCTCTGGTTTATCTGGTCACTGTAATAGGAAACCTCATCATTGCTGTGGTCACCACTCTTGATGAAAGCCTTCACACACCCATGTACTTCTTCCTCAGAAACCTGTCTATGCTGGACTCATGCTACATTTCTGTCACGGTTCCCAACTCCTGCGTTAACTCCCTGCTGGGGAACAGCTCCATTTCCAAGGCAGGATGTGCTACTCAGGTCTTCCTAGTGGTTTTCTTTGTGTTCGTGGAGCTGCTGTTTCTCACTATCATGGCTCATGACCGCTTTGCAGCCATCTGCAATCCCCTCCATTATCCTTCAATAATGAACCATCACCTGTGTGTCCACTCCACGCTGGCCTCTCTGCTCAGTGGCTTGGTCTATGCAGCCCTGCACACCAGCAACACCTTCCGGCTGTCCTTCTGCCACTCACATGCTGTCCAGCAGCTCTTCTGTGACATCCCTGCTCTGCTGAAACTCTCTTGCTCCGACACCTTCAGCAACTGGATCACCATCCTCATCTCTATTCTGGTGGTTGGTGGTGGCTGTTTCATTTTCATCATCAAGTCTTACATTCACATCTTTTCTGCTGTGCTCAAGTTACCAGCGGGAGCAGACAGGACAAAGGCCTTTTCCACCTGTGTGCCACACATCCTGGTGGCAGGAGTCTTCCTCATCTCAGGCTCTTATGTCTACCTGAGACCCTCTACGATGTCTGTCGGCACCTGGGACATGGTCCTGCCTATGTTCTATTCTGTAATTCCCCCCCTCTTGAACCCTATTATCTACAGCCACAAAAACACACAGATACAATATGCCCTCAGGAAACTCATGACCAGAATGGTCTTCTCAGGAAATGTGCTGAGAATCAGGGAGGCTTTCCCTACCCAGCTTAGTCATGGTCATGTTGTGGCCCATCAGTACACATAAGTGACCGAAGGTATTCCAGACCCATCTGTGTGAATGTAACACGAGGCTTTTAACAGGTCATACATCAATATCACTTTTTTTCTGAAGCGTTTGAATAAATTTCATATGTAATATGTAAAGTATCTCATTGAAGCAAAAGTCCAAATTGTTATGATTTATGAGTGAAATGTCCCCCAAAAGTCTCTTTTCATTGGAAGTGTGGCTTTCAGAAAGTGAGATCATCACAAAACTTCAATCACTAGGGTTAAAAATATTCAGAAGTATTTTTTGCTCTGACAACTTCAGCAACTGGATCATCATTCTTATCTCTAGTTGAGTGCTTGGTAATGACTTTTCATTTTTATCAAGTCTCATATTCACTCTTGTGTACTGTGTGCATGTTTCCTTAGGGGACAGATAGGGAAAAAGTCTTGTGTACTTGTGTCCAACAGGTCTCCAGTGTGAAGAATGTTTGTAGAGCATTCGCATAACATATGGAAGGCATCATCCCTCTATTAACTAGAGACTCAAGCAGAGAAAAGTAAGCAGCATGGCATATAATACAGTAAAATAGCTGAAATCTACATTGTAAAATGTTGCACACAAAGATAGTCATAATGTTACGGAAACATTTCGCCCTGTATTTTGATTTAATTACTCATTCTGATTGACAAAATTGCATGTAATTATTGTGTTCCACATATTATAAAAAGTGTGCATATATTTCAATGAAGAATGAAGATGTCACTGTGAAAAATTGGTAGTGGATCTAATAAACTCAAGTAAAGGAACAGGCAGTCATGCTTCACAGGGCACTGGAGAGAGGCCAAGCCTGATGTTTTAGACAAAGAGTCTTGAGAGACTCCTATCTGTGTGTTCTCTTGAGCTCTGCACAGCCCCAGGGAGCCTGGACACCAGATATGAGGAGTCCTCACCTCTGCCCTCTCCTCAGAGGTGTGAGTTCCTGATTAGCCTCACCATACAATCAAGTAGGTCTTGTCACTTTGTCTCAGATTCTCACTCAATTCTATGGCTATCCATTAAAAAACAGAACACAAACAATTTACTACATAAGGCAAATTATTACATTAGTGTTTCATTATACTCCTTACCATAATTTCAATTTACTGCATCAAATTGCATGAGCCATCCAGCTCACAATTTGCTCATAAAACAATTATGCTCATAAACACCATATACTGCAGTATAAAAAAAGCTTTACATTGCTGTCAGGGTTCTAAATGCCAGGATGTTTTTATGTTTAAATGCATAATGTTTTATGGGGCAAAATTGATGATGTGGGTTATTTTTGACTGTTGAAAACTATAAAGTGTTGCAAGCCTCAGAAAATATTACATGAAAACGTGTATTAATTTTCGCATTTCTTGAGGGAATAAGCAGAAAAGTGGAGTAGCAGACATGAGGCAGAGACGGTAAGCTATAGTCTTCAGTATAGACAGCTCTGAAACACTATAAAAAAGGCAGAGGTCATTGTTAATAGTGTATCAGGATTTAAAAGACACAGTAGTCTTCTCATCATATTTAATTTGATTTTAATTTGTTCTGGTCTGTCCACCCATGTCAGATTTGAGGGCACAGACATCTGACCCAAAAATAGCAGGTTATACCATGGTAACTATCTTTACTTTCCCATTAACTTAAACTGAAATCGTGTATTACTTACATTGTCTTACTATGACTGATCTTAATTGAATCTGATTCATAAGACCATGGGTTTGTCTTGGCTGATTTTATTTGAATTTGGTATGCTTGTTAGTATCAACGCTAAAAGTAGAGGCAACTACTCTGAAGATGACAAGAAGTAAAGGATATCCATGCTGGTATTAATTATTAAAAGCTCTCAAATCCTACAATGCTTTCAAAGTTGTGTTTTTATAAAAATAGGTAATATTACGTTTAACTATATTAAGATGATGATGATGTGGACAAATCTATTGAAAATAACAAGAGAAAACATAGTAACTATGGAAGATCACCTATATTGTGATCTTATATGTTTATCCATTGCATGTCTTTCTAGGAATTTGTTTTGCTATCTTGTAATGATTTGTTTTTCCCTATAATACAGAGAAGATAGATATATATGTAGAAATTCACACATGAGATTTTTTTAAAAAAAATTACAGGAACAGATTATATAATGCAAGATGTAATGAACAGATACTCTGAAGAACAGACACTAAGAAACCCAATGCTAATTTTGTAGCATTATGATATAAATTCTAGCAATACTATTATTCACTGATCAGAATATTAGTATAGTCTCTTAAGTTCAATTTCAGCATATGTAAAAATGGGGATGGCTACCATGAAGAGAACGAGAGATGTGATAGTAGTTATTATTGTCTTCTCCAATGTTAGATCTTGAAGACCTAAAAAGCCTTCATCATCCTGTAATGATTTGATTAGTTCTATAATATGCAATATGTATACAATGTGGGTGAAGTTGGGGACAACTATTTGTAAGAAACTAGAGACAGTTAGATAGACAGTGAAGATCTCTAGTGGACTTGCTTTGAAATCTGTATTTCTTTAAATTGTTTTTTTAACTGTTTTGTTCTGTTTTGATATGTTTAATCTTACCCTCTTTGAGATGTAAAACAAGTGTGTAGGACTGATAGCCATATTACTGAGTTCTTGTTCGATCATTGAGCAGAACTGTTTGCAGTGTCATTTTTTGAATGTCATTTTAAATATTTTAATTTTGTAACCTGAACAGCTATTTCTAAGATGACAATATGCAAATTATCAAGCAGGGATTTCTTACCATTTATTTTTCTGTAATTTTGTATTATTTCTACCCTTTTTATCTCCATGTAATTTTTTGTTTCCTTTTCTTTAAATAAAAAATAAATAAATAAATTTTCTCATTTCTAAGACAAAATACCCAATGCCTAAAAGTTAAGGAGTAAATGTTTATTTAGCTCTCAACTCTAGAATTTTCAGTCCACAAACTAGTGGATCCAAGGCAGTGTGACACAGCATACAGGCATCACAGAGGAGAAACTGTATGGTGAGCAAAGATAGCAAAGCAACCCAGGACAACCACACATCTGTCTGTTCCTTATGTCTTCTCAAGGCCACTTAGTGCAGGTGGCACTCACACCCTTATTCCCAATATCCTTGATACTAGCATTTCACTAGGAATAAATAATAACAGCACACACTAGATCCAGCCAACACTGAAGAAGCTCCACCTATGCCTGTATGAGTCCTTGGGGGGACATCTAAAACCAAGCCATAACATTCCATTCCTGACCTACAAATACTCATGCAAATACCTTTATGGAAAGGAGTTTAGTCCATGTTAAAGAGTTGCCAAAGCCCTAGCAATATCAACATCGCTGAAAAGTCAAACTCCAAAGTCTCCTCTGATATTTAAGCTAATTCTTAACTGCAAGTCCATGTACAAATAAAAAGAAAGTTAAACAATTCCAACATTAAATGTCACAAGATAAACATTATAGTTCTGAAAGTTAAAAGTAGGGGCATATAATGGGATGAGATCAAAGGAAGCCACAAATCCGTAAGTCAAAATTTAAGTCACATAATTCTATGTGCAGCATCTGAGGCAATCTGCAGAAATATATGAACTCCTGAGAACTTGGGTAGCCCCAACCCTATAGCACTTCCACTAGCTGTAACTCCCATGTATTCTCTCAATTGTGCTCTACTTTCTTCTTGAAATTTTCAGATGACGCATGTTCCCAGTTTCTCCAAACTTCTTGGGTTTTTGCTGCACAATTGACTTCATCTGCACAAATTGCACTCTCAGATGGATACTACCTGGCCTCCCAAATATTCTGAAATCTGAGTGGAAGCCTCTCTAACCCCACAACTCTTGCATTCTGGATATTCTTAAAACCAGTCCCATGTGTATCATGCCAAGGTTGGCTGATGGCTGGTGCAAGAGCCAAGCTTCTATCTCTATTGGCTGTAGGGTTCCAGTGCCTGGATTTCTCAACACTGTGAATCTACTTCTGACAAACAAATACTCCAGGATGCTGCCATTCTGGAATGTGGTGCACTGTGGCCTTCATCTCAAAACAAAGTCTTTCACTTTTCCAATTTTGAGCCTGTAAACTGTGGAGTCCCGCGGCTTCTTGTGATTCCTTACCTATCTTACCTACTTTGCTGTCCTTTCTCATGAATTAAGATCTCTTCTGCTTTATCTTTACAGTCAACAGCTTTAGCAGAGCTTTTGTTTTTGCAAAACTCACATTTTACGTCATTCTGATAAGCATCTTACTTTTGCTTAAAACCCCCAGCAGTAGCCATGGCACAGCTTCAACTTTCCAGTGCCTTGAAGTTTCTTCTGCCTGATTAAATAGGGAATGAATGGGGAAAGGAGCACAAGAGATTTTAAAAAGCAAAGGAAAGCAGGATAACAGACACTTTTGAGTTTCTGGGCACAAGATTCCAAGTCACACACTTGAGCTGCTGTTGAAAATATCCATGATAGATTGAAAGAATCAGGGATCTCTGTCTTGCTCAGTGTCCATGTCTTAGCAGTGATCCTGGGTACTGGGTGAGCCAGCAGCTACTCAGGAAGGAAGGGATGCTTCAGTACTCTTACTGACATTTCTTACCCATGGTATAGACTTTGTAAATTTTCTTACTGACATTATTATCAGAACCAATCAAAAATCAAACCCTCAGTTCTGATATTAAGTTTAAATTCACAAATGGTACACTATTGGAAGAAAAGCAGGTCATTCTACTCAAACATTAATAAAATCTATTTTTATTTATTGTCCTCTAATATTTTGTGTCATACTTATGCTTAGTTGTTAACTCCTTATTTTTTCTTTCAAGGACTTTATAGTGAAATATTTTCATGGATAAATTGAAATAAACTTCAGATGATTTTATTTTTTGGGGGTGGTTTCCTCCAAATCAAACTGGCTGACTTGAGCATAAATTCATCTTCGTATTCTGCCTGGCTTCCTTGAGTAACACAATCATAATTCACTTCATCTGTGTGAATGTCCAGTGTGAAC